GTGTGTGTGTGCGCGTGCACCCACGCAATGTGTGCACATACTAAGGATTGAATCTGTCCGGCAAGCACTCCACCATGGAGCCACATTCTCCATTCCCTTCACCCATAACACCTTGCTGCTGTGGCAAAGCTATGCTTACAGAAAGGTACCCAGAATGCCACAACTTTTCCATCCCCAGCAAGTTATCTATTGGAATGTATGAGGTTGCAGTGAAACCGCATGCCAATTAGACCTTCATATCTTGAAAACTCCTTATATTTCCTCTTTGTTTTGCTACTTACGTGTATCACAGAGCCTCGAGGTTGATGCTTAATAAATTAAGGAAACCTCTCTCAGTGAGATTCTTAGTTTAATACATTGCACAACCGATGCTAATGGGGTTGTTTTCCTTAATTCTTCAATACAAACATTTACAAAGTTTCCATGTACAAGTGGATACCAGGAATAGAGTGATTAGCCTCTTTCTCTACTGTGTACCCTCATGCTCAAGGCTGACGGAAATAAATACAGAGTTAAAGTAACTGCTGAAATGGAGACAAATTGTTCAAACATAACTACTGGGAAGCAATGTTTATTAGGAGAAGGCATGAGAAGTTTGACCAAGGGGTGTCATCTGAATCTTGAGTCATAAGCAGTTTATTAGACCTAAAAAGGATAAAGAAAGGGAATTCTAAGGAGACATTGGGGCTATATAACAGTTGTAATTCCAGAAAAGGTCTCACATTATCAGTTTACAGTAGACAGTGAACTATTTTAAAAAAACATTTGAATACCTTTTGGTATAATATTCTTCATTAAATACATATATACATTTATATATACATAAATGTAAGAAGCATAGGAAAGTATAGCACAAGAGAAACTGGAGATTATACAATGATAAAAGAGGTTTAGAGGTATTATGAATTCACACGTTAGATGAGATACCATGAACTATAGAACATACTTGTTTACATGTTTAAGTGTGAGTACTAAGTTTCACTCCAAACTACTCATAAACAAAAACTAGACAGACAAAATAAGTAAATAGGACTGACATAGATTTACAATATCTATAAAGTTGCAAGAAACGTGTCATGACCGAGGTTAGCAAAACCACAAAAACTAAGCAAAACCAAACCCAGCCAGCCACAATATTTAAGTCAACAGGTAAGGGAGTATAGCTCTTCCCACTCCTGGAGACCTGGAAGTTTTTAAGATGGAGCTGATATTGGATCAAACTAGAGAACTTGTCTGGATTTTTTTGCCTGGACTCCCACTTTAATAGCGCCCAGATAGTTTATCTATGTAGACAATTGGCTATCTGCAGCAATCCATACTTTGGTCACACACACTCAGAAAGGAGTAGAGCATAGCTCAGAGCTGAACATCATTCCAACGTTTTAACTGGTAACTTTGAGCTCTGCTAAGGATATAAAGTAAAAATAATACATTTTGATTGTCTCACTATATAGCTAGCGACTAACCACACGGTATTAAGAATATATGGCTTTTGAGACTGAAGCACTGAACTTCAATATTGTATTTAATTTTAATTACTTTAATCTTAATAACTGCCTGTGGTTGGCATAGTTCTAGATAATGTCAATAAAATGAATGGCTTGGGGAAGAGTAAATAATATGAAAGCATGGTGAATTTTTATTTTCTCTGAGGGAGAAATAAACAGATACTACTTTTTAAGAAACATGAAAGGATTTGAAAAGATAAAGACAAATTATATCAATAGTAACAGAAAATAAGCAAACTAAACATAAAAAAATTTAAAAAGCAAAGATTAGCAAACTAGGTGGAAACAAGTGGTACATCAAAAGTAATTTTCTGCCAGGATGCAAGTGGTAAAATAGTGGAAATATTACCAGTGGAAATACTGCACATACTGTATAGCAAAAAAAGTAGTATTAGAGATGGAAGGGTTAAGAATTCTACAAAGTTATTGGGCAAGTTGAAAAGTCAGGCAAGGCAAAAATGTAAGCAAAAGTTAAAAAAATCAAACAACCTTTTGAAAATATGAAAAAAGGATAAAAATGACTTGGCATGCAAAAATAATAGACAAAAGTAACAGAATCATAAATCAAGTATTGGGAAAGAAGAATAAAATAGATCAGCCTTTACCAAATGCATCAACAACAGCTACAAAGAAAGAGCAGAAATTACCAGCCACTAGGATTGAAGGGATGACTTTCCAAAAGACCTTAGCAAAAAACAAACTAGTAATAAGAAAATATCATTCTACAATGTACAATTTAAACCACCATGGCCATTATTTATGATGGAATGTTTGAAATCCTTCAGTTCTGATGAGCAAGTATCTCTCTCATAATGACTTAGGAGACACATTTTGCAAATCTTCTGGGTAATTTAAAGTAAGTCACTTAACTTGGAATCATTTACTAAAGTATAAGTGTAACCTTTGAATGACTATCACTATTGTTACATTATACAAAGAATAGTGATGTATGTGGAAAAGAATCTTTAAATGTACACGGCATTGCTGTAATATTTCTATTCTGATTTAATTTCTACCTAGCCATCATCTTCTCTACACAACCAAAAATACTTTTTAAGGAAATATTCTAAAATTTTATTTTGTATGCTTTACGGGAACAAATTATCTGTAACCCAGATGTTGCTCATAACTTCTTGGTTTTCTAGTCCCAGTTAAGTGGTCTGTTTAGACAATCCTTGAGTCCTGTAGTCAATAAGGCTTGGTGTATATGCCATTCCTCATTCCCACCAGATGTAGTGAGTAAACAATTTCTTCACTGGTACTACCACAGTTTAAAGACTGAATATACAACTATCTTAACAGCATAAATCTTCCAGAGAGAGAGAGAGAGACAGAGACAGAGACAGAGACAGAGACAGAGACAGAGAGACAGAGAGAATTGCCTTCAGTTTCTTCATAGTAGATATATGTTTATTTTTTTTTGTTGGTTGTGGGGCTTGAACCCTAGGCTTGGGCTCTGTACCTGAACTCTTCAGCTCAAGGCGAGCACTCTACCACTTGAGCCACAGCACCACTTCTGGTTTTCTAGTGGTTTATTGCAGATAAGAGTCTCATGGACTTTTGTGCCTGGGCTGGCTTTGAACCACGATCCTCAGCTCTCAGCCTCCTGAGTAGCTAGGATTACAGGTGTGGATATTTTAAAGAACTATTCTATTCTTATGTTCTTCTGTCTTTGAAGGGTAAAGAAATTGCATTTCCCATTAGTCAACTAAGCTGCAAGATATACATACCAGATTAATAATTAATAATGTGAATTTAAAACAACGGTGAAAACTAAAATAGTTAACACCAGCAGGTGAATAGAAAGGGATGAGACTCAGTTAAACCCATTAATATTAATGATATTAATCATTAGCATTACACATTAATATTAATTATATTAATAATCAATGTTGATTAGTGATATTAATTAATATTATCCTCATCTAAAAATGTAATGGGAAGTATTATGTAATGGTACATGGTAACCTAATTAGAATAACTTATGGACCAAAAATTCCCATTCTACAGAATTATGGTGGGGAAATCTCATAATTCTGAAGAACAAAAACAAGAAAAGACAGAGAACAGTGACTTGTAAACTTAGGATAAGATTCTAGGAAGCTCTCAAATGTACTAATCAAAAGTAAGCTTGCAGGTAGGATGATCGACTGGGAACCTTTTGAAATGGAAGGTTTAGGAGTGCTAAGGAACATGGTCAGTGTAGACCATTCACTTCAAACTGACTCATCCTTGTCAACTAAATTATATTGCTTCTAGAAATTTATCTTAGAAATCAAAGAAACACACACGAGTTCACATAACATATAAACATAGTGCAATATTTTAAGGTTATTAAAAGAATGAACTGATATTCAATGTCATAAAAACATACTATATATGATAGTATATACTGTTTTTTTTCTTTCTTTTTTTAATTGTGAAAATACTGTATAGAGGGGTTACAATTGCATGGGCAAGATAATGAGTACATTTCTTATCAAGCATTGTAGCCTCCTCCTTTGTTTCCCCTTCCCATCCCTTCCCATCCTCCCCCTGCCCCCTCAACCCTCCCTCCCCCCTCCCCCGCAAGCAAGTTGTAAAGTTCATTTTCGCCATAACGACCTGTACATCTCATTGTTGCAATGGGTTCACCTGTATCCTTATTTAAACGATTTGTTTTTCCCCTTCCCCTCCACAAATTATACCGACATCAAATACAGTGAAAGCAGGAGTTTAGTATATACTGTTTTATATGCAGCAATATATGGGTGAGATTGGGAAAGTTGGGGGAGAATGATAGGAGGGGTGGCATTGATCAAGATACACTGTACTTATAAGTGATTTGTTGAATTGAAACCCCTTTGTACAACTACTTAAAGATAACACATTTTAGAAAAGGAGAACAAAATATCAGCTTCCCAAACCTTTCTATACTATTAATTTTCTTTCCTTTCCTTTCGTCTTTCCATTCCTGGATGAAAGAGCGATGAAAATGAATTCTCAAGAGGTTAACTGAAGTCATTGCTTGATGTTGAGACATTGGGCATGATCAACATTTCTCCTCAGCACACTTTTGGTATATTTATAGCTACAAAAAATTCTTTCATCATAAGTAATAGTACTTTCTCTGAGGGAACTCATACACTTTAACGTATGCAGCATAGCTTGGTTGTGGCTATTCCAGTGGATAATTTATACATATACATTTGTTTATAGCTCTACATGTATGTGCATGGGTGTTTGTGTGTGTGTGTGTGTGTGTGTGTGTGTGTGTGTGTGTGTGTGGTGTGTGTGTGTATAACTGCAGGTAAATTTTTAATGTTACTACAGCCCAGTTTCATCCACAAAGAGACAGAGAATCAGAAAGACTAACAGCATCCTGATGTTCTTTTTATACATTCTGTGCCAGTTCCTCAAAATATGGACAGGACCCTGTCATATTTTCCAGACTTGTCACAATGAAGAACATACATGTAAATAGGGAAGTAGGAATATAGTTGTAGTTCACACATGCCCACACCATCAGAGGACCTAAGGCAAGCAAACATCTGTCCAGATGTGAATGCTCAGCAAGCAGCAACCGCAGATGTAAACACCTCTCAGAAACAAATGTTCTCACGCTCCCTGCCCTGCAACTTCTTGGTGATTTTCCAACACAGTTAGGAAATACCTCCAAATCTCACAAGAAAAATGTGTGGCCTCATTTTCTTTTATGACGTGCTAAAGAGAAGTACAAATAGATGAAAACGACAGCGAGGGAGACCACAATGACACACTGTGTGAGCTTTTAACAACCAGCTGTAGCCAGGATGTCTTGGGTCCTGTTCTCTGTTCTTTGGCTCATCGTTCAAACTCAAGGTAAGAATGAGTATGCTGGAATTTTATATAAAAGTCAAATTATGTGATGAATGTACCCCTAGGAGATGAGAAAAGCTTTGTAATCCAAAGGATCACTATTATTGGATTTTCTTTCCTAATATATAATATATATTCTATATAATATTTACATGTTCATTTGAGGGAAGGCATCAAAATCACTACGTAAAACATATATGTTAAAGTTTGTCATAATTTTTTTCAAATTAAATGCATTTTACTAAGTAAAAAATTCATCATTTTCCAAAACAGAACAAGTAAAAGTATATGAGTGGTCTATTTATGTTTTCATTGATAAATAATTTTTAACTAATGTATTTAGGATTGTAAGCTATGTTGTAATAAAGCTACATTTTAAGATTATTTCCTGAGGAGGATTCATTAGTGGAATGGCAAGGTCAAAAAGTCTAGGCCTGGAAAAAATTAACTCTTTTCCTCCTTAGGGTTGATAATTGACAGTTAAACCATTTGGCACCTGCTGTATGCACCCTTGTTATCCTATGAAGAAACTGCATCCATTGAGGCCATCATGGGTTACTTTGCTCGTGATCACATGGCTGTCATGTTAAAAGTCAAATGCTGGGAATCTCCACTGTATATAAATACATTTCTAGGAAAGCTTATACTGAAACAAGTTTTTAAAAAACATAGATAGCTAAGGGCCTACCTTAAGCCTATCACAAAATTATCACTTGGTTAGGATACACTGCAAACATTGCACTAACAGGACTATCAGGGTAGGTCTTACCCTCATATTCAACCACTAATGTACCAAAGAAATAACTTAGATAACTTTTAAGCCAATAATGATGGTATTTATACATACAGCTTAGTGAGTGCTTTCATAGCCATTTACTCAATTCTTAGGAACTCTGCTCATTGTCAAGATTTTGTGTTTTACACAATAATTTAGTGAAAAGTCTCTGAACTTCTATCTCTCATTCGACAATCTTAATAGCTTACCCCATGACACAGCTAGACCACTCCTGGGTGTATAACTGCAGTGTGTAAATCATCATACAACAGAGATAATGATGTACACATATTTATAGCAGCACTATTCACAAGAACCAAGCTGTGGAATCAGGCTAGAGGTCCAACCATGATGATTGGATAAAGAAAATGTGGTCTCTAAATACATATGTATTCCATTATAAAGACAGGCACTCTATTGCTGAGCTACACTCCAGGACTTTCTATGCTGGTTATTTTCACATAGGGTTTTGATTTTTGTCTGAGTCTGTACTTGGACAGCAGTCCTCCTATTTTCCATTTCCCATGACAGCTCAGATGTCAGATGAACACCATTATACTCAGCTTCTTCCACTGAAATGAAGACTTAGGATGTTTTCTTTTGCCAGTGTTGGCCGAAAACTTTGATCCTACAGATTTCAGCTTTCTGAGTACCTAAGAAAATAGACATGAAACTTATGCCCAGCTTGATAAAAGAAAATGTATTAAGCAGTTTTAGACTTTGTGCTTTATTGTATAATATTTTTCTCAGGAAAGCATTATTCAGAACTCTAGGAGTCGACTTAGGAGATAATTCTTTCCTTATTCTTTTCCCTCAGTCTCTCAAAGTGTACAATTCACTTGTTGGTCCTTAATTGCTCTGATTGTCTTAACAGAAAACTCTCTGTGTACAGATTCTGTGTGTGTGTGTGTGTGTGTGTGAAAACGTGAATGTTCATGAATAAGACTGGCCTTAATTGAATAATCAGAAAGAACAAAAAAGATGTGGTGCTATTTTCCTAGGCGAGTGATAAATAGATTTTATGGTGTTCTTCAATCTCCGTCTCACACAGCAAATCACACAAAGGCAAACAGCTTTCTCAAGGGCTGTTTAGCAAAAGTATCAGATCACATCCTTTAGCTCCAAGATCAGTTCTTTTCTTACTAACTAAAAACAACAGGAGCTAATTATGTAATTTCAAGTCCAACAGGAAAGATCTCTTGTCTATAATCAATTGTGCTCCTTGCTCTCTGTGGCCTAAAAAAATATTCCAAGAGAGGTCAGTAAAAATTTATTTCGGTGACATCTGCAGTCTTCAGGGAAAATGTCAATGAAGAAAAGAATCGCCATTTATTGTTACATAAGGAGTAAAATTACTACTTGTAGCATTCCCCTTTGACTCCCCAAGTAGATGTATTATCTGAAAATTATATGGAAATTATATATAAAATTATTGGAAAATTTTGACTTGTGGAGTGGGTATTCACATCTGTACCACAGTGGGAAAATGGTGTAGAAGGCATTGGGAGGGTAAGAAATCATAATTGGAAAGAACATTCTAGAGGGAGAAGGAAATGCATTATTCCAGACAGAACTTTATTCTCAGACAGGCAGTTTCTCCAACTTGTGGTCCAGGTTTACATTCATAGAGATCATCTCAAGAACTGTTTTGTGACCCTATGTCATTCTAGAATGGAGTTGAGAGAGAAAAATATAAACCCTTGTAATCAAAGCTAAAATGAAAGACTCACCTTGCTTTTAATGCTTTCTCTCTGTGTCCTTTTAATAAAACAACCAGCCCAACCACTCTTTTATGTGCATATTCTCTCTCCTTTTCTAGCCAAAACTGTAAATCAAGGCCCTGAGCTCAAACTCCAGGAGATAGTGCACCCTAGAAAACTACCCTTTGCCTATCAAAGCGAGATTGAGAAGGAAAAGAATGATGAAGAGGTAGGTAACCCAAGAGATCGTGGTTCATTTTACAATCATCTGAAGACAGATGATGAATACTTCTCACTAATAGAAGAGATCTCACAGTCACCATCAAAGAGAAGTCTATACAGATAGCTCCTCTTTTTCCAGAACAAAGCATATGATTTGCTTGCACAGTTAATAGAAGGAGCTGTCTTGCTTGAGGAGAAAGGAGAGAGCAGACTAGACATGATTTCAAACGTGTATGTGGGATTGGATGGAATTCCAGCAAGAACAACTATGTCTAGAAGGCATTAGTTTGAGAGCTGCTCCCTCCCTGCTCTGCAAACTCTTATGGCCTCTCCTCATTCCATTCTCCTGCCACCACCCCATCCACACGTAGAAACGCACCTCTGCATGGCTACAAACACTTCCCCCATTTGGTACTTTTTACTCTTACTTAATTCTTTGCAAATCTTTATTGGCTTTCTTCAGTGTATTTCAGTTCAGTTTGATAAAAAATCCATCCCTTGTGATTATCTTGCTGGAGATGCATTGTGGCCCACAGGACATTATATTGCACGCCAGAGCCAGCCATAAGACCCTACCATATACAATGGCATTTTTAGGAAGTCTATCTCAGTGTATAAGCTATGCTTCCTCTTAAAGGCAGGAGAGCACTGATTTTAGCCTGTATGCATTTATAATGGTTATCCTAATATATGCCCCATGGACCACTATGGTTGCTTTTAATAGGCCTAGACATATAAACTGTATGACATAATTATATCATTAAATACTTTCAGGGAAGATGTGCGCCTCATGTTCGGTATCAAATTACCTTAAGTGGAGAAAAAATTATCCTTCACCTTCAAAACCCCAAGTAAGTTCTGTTTCCTGAAACTCTAATCATTTTGATTGCTAATTGAGAAATGGGGAAGTATTCTTGGAGCTCTAATCAGTGTGACTGGAATAGAAGACGTGAAGCGTGTGGGGCTTTAAGAAATGTATGCTCCTGTCAACAGCAGGAGGTCTGTCTTTCATCTGTCTAAGGTCAGTGTATTCCTGGGGAATTATATGCAACGTGGGGCAATGAGAGGCATTCTGTAAGTGATTTTCTTTCCTAAACTTTGTGTAATGTACTGAAAATATCATCTTTTCAAATACACCCAAATCTTGGACGTGTCTTTTTATTACTGTTATAAGAACGTATGTCCGAAGGGTGCTTTCCTGGAGAGAAACTCTGGAAAATAGGACTCCACAAACTTCTTCCAAGACAAAATGGCTCTTTATGCAGGCTTACAAGCCAACAGGAGTTGACCAAGACTTCCTGAGCCTGAGCCCTTAGTCCAAACCAACCTCAAGAGAGCCAACTTGAAGGAAAAAACAATCTGCAACTGAGAAGCAGTTGAGATTTCTACCCTCATATTTCACCCACAGAGCTCGTTCTTTGGTTTGCTTCAGCAACAGAGTTCCAATGTTAGAAAAGGAACAATGGCCCAAAGGTCAACTCTTCCTCATTATAGACATTTTCATTCTCTTAGTGCTGAAGAGTGTATCATGGAAGTCAGCCTTTGCTTCTATCCTGAGTATCCTATGAGTTCTCATTCTCTACAGGTTCCTCTTGGGGTCAGACGGCGCTGAAACAAAGCACTCATCAGGAGCAGAGAACGTTACCAGGAACCCTCAGAACAGGGTAGGGTCTGAAGGCTTTCTGGGACTTACCCTAGCATCTGCCACTTATTAAAAATGCATAGCTCCAGAGACATTGATTAAAAAAATAATGAAATAACTTGAAAGCCAGATGCTCATCCATAGCCAGTTAGACAAATAGAGAAAAATCGTAGCTTTGAAAAGGTGGGGGGCTGGGAAGGTGGCTCAGTGGTAGAGTGCTTACCTTGCATGCACGAGGCCCTGGGTTTGATTCCTCAGCACCATATAAGCAAAAAGAAAAAAGCCAGAAGTGGCGCTATGGCTCAAGTGGTAAAGCGCTAGCCTTGAGCTGAAGAGCTGAGAGACAGCGCCCAGGCCCAGAGTTTAGGCCTCACGATCAGACCCCCACCCCCCCAAAAAAAAGAAAAGGTGGGAACAGCATGAGGCTTCTGTCACCTGTTTAGAGGCACATAGAGTCCACTTGTCTCTAGACTATTTTATATTCAGGTTAGGAATTTGTCCCCTAATATGCCTGTATGGAAATAGCCCAACAAAACACTTTGTTCCCTTAATATACATTAAGTAAAAGCAAAGACTTGCTGTTCCCTATAAATACTTGAAACTTGCTGTTACTACTGTTTCCTGAAAATATTTGCATTTATCCTGATGTTTACAACACAGTATAATTAATGTTTATATCTAGACCAGTCACAATTCTACAACCTCCAGTTCTAGAGCCTAGCTTCCAGGTGTAAAGAATCATGACACACACAAAAACCAGAGAAGAGCAGGCAAAAGGTCTCCTCTCTGGAACTGTATACCTACTTGTCTCTATAAACAAATAAAAACCACATAAAACTTCCACCACCTCTGCCTGGCTGCTTTCTTGTTGTATCAAAACTCTCATTTCACAGATTTCTGGATGTTTGGTAACATTTGTCCTCGGAGAAGAGAATCTGATAACTTCATTAGTGATTCCTTTTTTGTTGTTATTGTTACCATTGCTGAGATATGACGGTTTGAACTCAGGGTTCTCTAACACCTGAGCTTTTCTCCCAGTCCTCCTGCTTCAGTTCCAATGGTCGATAGTATATTGATGCAATACCTTGCCCACCTCTTCAATGAGAAAGTTTCTTGTAAAGAACACACACCACACACACACTCACACACACACACACACACACACACACACACACACACACACACAGAGCAAGTCAGTTACCTTTGAACCAGAGGTGATTTATGGTAAGTTTATCTAGATCTCTCCACATACGTGGCCCCTTGCTAATACAGACCAGTAACCATGCATTATCTTAGTTGTAGACAAATATTCCCAGTTTTCAAATCTGGTAGAAAAGGATCCACTAACAGACGGATTAAAATGGTGACTTCAGCCAGTCAATCTGAAGGACTCAGGATGGTCCCACCCTCAGAGCCTGCAGGTGGTACTGAAACCCCCAGTGATTGGCTACTTCTCATTCACCATGAGACACTTAGAGCACCAGCCTGGACTTTATCTCACTGCTCACTAGTGTGAGAGAAATGACTGAGACACCAGATAGAGAGTTCAGAGTCACCTGTGGAGTAGTTCAGAAGGCCCCCAAAGACCTCAAAGGGTTTTCTTTTTGGAAAAAGAGTAAGGGCCCCAGTCCTGAGTTGAGCTTTCTTTCCCCTGTACTAAAGATGGTAACCTTCGCCACATGATGCTTGTTGTTAATGTACGTTTACATGTAAGTATAATAGTGGAAGCTAGACACGTTCTGTGCACACGTGTATGATTCTGAGGTGATTTTCGGTTTTCTACTCCAGAGGCACTGTCACTATGAAGGTCACATCCTAAATGAACAGAACTCTGCGGCCAGCATCAGTACCGGCGATGGGCTGAGGTGAGAAAACTGACCAGAATAGTGAGTATCAGGAAACATTTTGCTACACAGAACTGAGTCCTTCTGGACCTTATCTGGTCTTGCTATTTTGGTAGTTTCCGTCACTGATTACTTAATCAATGTGCTCAAGTGGGAGAAGTAGAGAGCATCACCCTTACGATCATGGCATAAGCGGTGTCATCAGCTATTCCACACATTAGTCCGGCTTTCTGAGTGTCTGGGTTCATTGCCAAGTCTCTCTATGTCATTCTTAGAAACAATTGCTTGTTATTGTCTTGCAGATAATACCCTGTGAGTTTCCTAGCTGATACTAAGTTGTTGTGTAGTTATTGTTGTTTGTGATCCTGGGACTTGAACTCAGGGCCTAAGCTCTGTCCCTAAGCTTTTTTGATCAAGACTAGTGCTCTGACACGAGCCACAGCTCCACTTATGACTTTTTTGGTGGCTAATTGGAGACAAGAGTCTCACAGACTCTCCTGCCTGTGCTGGTGTTGAACAGTGACTCTCAGATCTCAGCCTCTTGAATAGCTAAGACTATAGGTATGAGCTACCAATGTCTGGCTCCAGCTTAATTTTTTAAGTGTATGTGTATATGTGTTTATACAAACAAGCCTTCCCAACCAAGAAAATCTCAGAGCCTGAGAAAGCACACATGAGAATATAATACTACCTACCACAAATTTTACCTCTGAATGATCACTGCTAATAACTTCTTATTGTGTCTATAATGATACATACCAACAAGTATATCTTTCAGGATTAAAATAAGAAATATAGCTCATACTTGCTGTCCCAACAGGATCTATCCTTAGCATGGCACATTAAAATTTCTGCATATCATAAAATAGATACCGTTTCTAGAAGCTTCTCTGTTGTTATATCACAGAGCTCTTTCAGCTCCTACGAGTCCCCGTTTGTGACTCTGGATTCCCTACAAATACATTTTTCTTCTTGTATGGTTCTTGTACATAAACATTCCATCACTCCCTTCCTAGAATCTTCCAAGATATATTCAATTACATGAATAAATAAGCTGTGACAATATTTCCTGGGCTCATCAGATACTTCCCAAATTCTTTGGGACTGTTTCATTTGAGGAGTTTCTCAGGATTCTCTGGGTATATCACCTGGCCTGTTTTCATTATTGTCAAATACTGATTTGTGACCCCAGTGAACATATGCCTGTCAAAGGATCTGAGAATGAGTGTTATGTGTGGCACGGGTGAGGAGGGAGAGATTTTTTCCCCTCCATTCTCAACAGGAAACATGAGTGCACGCCAAGGAATGCTGAAATCCATACCTGTCTCTTGCAGAGGAGACTTTACCTTCCATGATCAAAAGCTCGTGATAAGGCCTCTGGGAAGTACAGACCAGGGAGAGCATGCTGTCTTTGCTTACAACCAGGAGGAGCTGGATACCGTGAATGTTAATCCTACCTGTGGTGTGAATGGTATGGGCAGGAAACAAAGGCATATTCGACCTTCCAGGTCGCTGAGAGTCTTAAAGGTAGGTTCTGGTTTTCTGCACCCTGATTGGTCTCAGCAGTAACACACAATGCAGTAGTAGGCTCAGCCAAGCCTGTCATGGGTCTTCTGAGTCTTCAGGGGGTGGTGTGTTGTTTGGTTGGTTTTGTTCTTTTGGAAAAAAAATATATCCTCTGGTAAGGTTTTGAATCATGTAGGATAAAAGATAATGATTAACATTGTGTTTTGTAATTATCTGAAAGCAAGAAGAGTTTCTTCAGACGCAGAAATACGTTAATCTCTTCTTGGTGCTGGATAATGCCTTTGTGAGTATGAAATGTGTTTGTTTTTTGGACAGTTTCCTCAATGTTTGAGCTTACTTATCAGGCTAAAATCAGCAGCAAATCTTGTGATTAACAAGATTTAGCCACCTGATTATCCTGGATGCTGAGCCTGCCTATCCACCACAGTTTTCACTCCTACTCATGTACTATCCAACTGTCATCAAACTTTTAGATGTTGGTAATATAATTAACATTGTATCTAGGCCATTAGCCACAAAATTAAAAATGAAGCAGTCAGGTGCTAGTGGCTCATGCTTGTAATCCTAGTTACTCAGGAAACTGAGATCTGAAGATCAAGATTCAAAGTCAAGCTAAGGAAGGGAAGTCTGAGAGTCTTATCTCTAATTGAACATCCAGAATCCTGAAGTAAAGCTGTGGCTCAAGTGGAAATGCACCAGCCTTGGGCAGAAAAAGCTAAGGGATAATTCCCAGGCGCTGAGTTCAAGCCCCAGCATCAGCAAAACTAGATAAATAGCTAGATACTGGTGACTCACACCTGTAATTCTAGATAGTCAGGAGGCTGAGATCTGAGGATTGTGGTTCAAAGTCAACCTGGACAGAAAATCCCCAGTGGTTAACTCCAGTTAACCACTCAAAAACTGTAAGTGGAGCTGTGGTTCAAAGTGGTAGAGCACTAGCCCTGAGCAAAAGAGCTCAGGGACAGTGCCCCGGCCCTGAGTTCAAGCCCCACAACCACCAAAAAATAGATAAAATAACAATTAATTAAAACCAGAAAGTTATTAAGATATTAAATTATTTTACATTGTTATCTAAAAAATCAACACATGCAATATAAATTTACAAAAATACAAGCAAAAACTATAACTTACAAATTATATGAAAACTGTATACCTTGCAAATTTATATGCAGAGAAAAAATACTAGCATCTATTTTTACCTAGTATATATTAATTCATTATCAAATTTGAATTTAAAACCTTCAACTTACTTGATTTACTCAACTAAAAGATAGAGAACATTGACATTTTTACAAATGCCTAATTTTTCTCTTAGGAAAAAAAAAATCTCTTGCATTTGAAATAGGATTTGGTGAAACGAGTCTTACAAAGCTTAGCTCTGGGATTCATAGATTTTATATCTATGTAATGTATGTAATTTTTCTATGAATATGAAATCCTATACCCCCTTAGTTTGATTACTTTTTCATTTTGCTATTCTAATTCTACTTTTTGTCTCTTTTTTTTTTCAGTATAAGACATATCACGGTAACCTGACTCTGATGAAAACCGTTCTGTTTGACGTGCTCAGCCTCCTGAATGTGGTAAGATACTTGTCACTTGAGCATGCGCTTCTGCCGAGAAGCCTTAGGCATCACTGTAGTGACAGCCAGGGGCTAGCAGTGCCCTGTGCTGTAGAGACAGAGTTCTGGGAGATCATAGCTATGCATCAGCGTCGGGATAAGCTCATGCGTCCCGTAGCGAGGTAATTTTTTAGGAGTTCCATTTTGAAAATGGAAACTCATCACTTAAGTCTATCTTTGTATCCATGACTTGTGGTTGCACAAGTCTAAAGTACTACAAAGAATCCTGAACGTTTTCATGAAGAAAAATTCCCATTCCACAGATTTACAATACTATAGACGTTCAAGTAGCCCTGGTAGGGATGGAAATCTGGTCTGACGGTGACAAGATAAAGGTGGAACCTACCATAGGTACCACATTTAACAACTTCCTGAGATGGCACCGATCTTCCATAGGGAAAATGAGGATCCACAACCACGCTCAGCTCCTCAGGTGAGTCCTGGGGAGAGGACAAGCATACGGATGCCGAGCAGATTTCTAGACTGTCTTCTCAGGAAAGGCTTTCCTCTGCATTGGTGTTCTAGTTTACAATGCATCTGTGAAATCAACTCATCCCTAGAGTAAAATGGCCAATAAAGCAAAATAATCACTTAGATGCACAATAACCCCCTGTAGTCATTCTTGTGCTTTGGGAGGATAGACACTGGTCTGAGGCCTAGTGAACATACAAAGGGCAGGGCAGCGAGGGAAATCGGTATTGTCATTAGCACAAGCTGATGGTTCTGGAGTCCAATTGTGATGGTGTATCTGTACCTTCTGCACAGTGGGATTGGCTTCAGGCACGGGCGCGTAGGCATGGTGGCCTCCAGTTCCCTGTGTTCTCTGTCTTCGGTGGCTGTTATCGAGGTTGGTACCTTTATTTTAAGGTTCCCTATGATTTGATGTCTCTAGGATGTCCAGCAGAGCGCTTTGTGCTTAGAAATGATAATGATCATTTGCTCTGGCTGTATTTAATGGTGACAATGGATCGTCTCATAGAAGGCTCCTTGGATCGTAAAGCATCAATCCTGCCAGAAGACATCTCATTTAAATCGGTGCCGGGAATAAGAGAAGTAATGTTGAGACAGAAGGAGGATGCCAGTGGCTTCTGTGGCCTAGATAACTCTAAGTTAGTCAGTTGACAAGAAATTAGGTGAGAAAGAAAGGGCCGCATGGGTAAGCACGACTGATGTGACAGTATCCGCGGTGACCGATTTTACAGGCCCTCAGAGTCCATATTACATAACTAAAACGTTCCGTGAGGAACGCAGTGAATCTAGCCATCGTTCACTGAAAGACTTGTCATTTACGTAGTGCTGACCCGATGTCTAGGTTCTCCAACCATTTTGGATGTGCCTTCAACATGAGGTAATACAGTGACAGGGAACGGGCCTTGTGACCATTGCTGCTCTTCTCCTAAGCTGTCCTTTTCAAATCCTATATACAGGTAACAACTGGGAAACAGTGGGATGAAACTAGGTATAGCCAATGCTTCTGTGATTTCCTTTCCAGGCTAAGAGGAAGAACAATGTGACGCTGGCAGCAGTGATGTCCCATGAATTAGGCCATGCCCTGGGCATGCCTGACATTCCGTACTTCACCAAGTGTCCCTCTGGCAGTTGTGCCATGAATCAGTATCTGAGGTAAGATGTTGCTGCACACAAATAATAAACATGTGAGTGCCCAGCTCTTAAAGAATGTAAATGCACCATGCGTATGCTGGGATCTTCCTCGAGAGTTACATATCCCATCGGTCCCACCAATGTTTAAGCACCATTTTTGCCAAATATCAGGACTCATTCTTTACTATTTCCAAACACATCAAGGTCGAGTTTTATGAGTATGGCAACCACATTAAATTTATTTTGCCTTAAAGTGATACAATAGTTTCTAGACATACTAGCCTAATTCAGATGCAAACCATGTGTGTATATATATATATATATATATATATATATATATATATATATATATATATACATATACACACACACATATACATATACATATATATATATATATATATATATAACCAAAATAAGTTGACCAGCCCATTAATGTTGATCTCTTTGCAAGGACTTGATGTAGAAAAATAAGTAAACTCTACCTTGTTTTTTTTGAGGTGCTCATTGCTAAAGAATGATGACTATGGAACCCATAAGTCTGCACTGATTTCCCCCATGCTGAATCATTATTACTTCCTTCTGCTCGCCCTCATGACTACACTATCTTCTAGTGGGATCAGACGTACTGCAAAGAGTGTCATCATGTTATTTCTGAGATGTTCTGTTTACAGCTCAAAATTCCCAAAGGATTTCAGTACTTCCTGCCGGGAACATTTTCAAAGATACCTTTTATCTCACAAACCAAAGTGCCTGCTACAAGCACCTAGTCCAAAAAGTGTAATGACACCTCCAGTGTGTGGAAACCACATTCTAGAAGTGGGAGAAGACTGTGACTGTGGCTCCCCTGAGGTATGGAACTGTCTGTCCTTTATTAGCGGGAAACTGGAGAATAATCCTTTTCTTTATTTTTTAACACCCTTTTGGAAATTCTAAAGAAAAGTTGATATCAGAGTCGTTAGTAGATCTACACTTCCATTATGCTGTTGATTTTAATTATTTTTTTTCAGAAAACATTTCAAAAGCTAGGACGTGGCTTTAAGATAACATAGTTATATGATGTTGAAACTGAAGAAGAAAGCCATCAACTATAACATTTCACTTATGATCTTTCTAGATACATTATTCACAGATACCCAACCTATAAATATCAGCTGATCATTTCTTAAGCAGTAACCATTTCAGATCTAGAAGTAACTTTTCTCCACAGATATTTGGCCTGTGTCCATAGTCAGTATGTAAACAAAAGATAAAAGAAGGAAAAATAAAAACCCTAAAACCCAAACATATAAAAAAGTAAAAATGGAAGCAATGTTAATGCATATTGTAAAATTCCAAGGCATCTCTGTAGTGTGCAATGGTTGGTTTTGAAGAATGTGAGATTGCTATGATTCTTGCTTAGCAATCTTCTTTTCCTTTTAAGACGTACACAGTAGGCATTGTCAATATCCTTATTTCGAGAAGGAAGATTAAGGAAAGTAATCAGTTCAGAGGATATCACTAGAAATAGGTGAAGTAAAGTGGATCTCCAGATTTCTTTTTTACTTTAGATGTCTCTGACACTATAGACAAAGCATCTAAATATTCTCTGTGCTTCAGTTTGTTATGCAGAAATTTTAAACCAATTCCATTGGTAGATAAAATGCAATGACTTAATCAATTGTGGATATTAAAAATACTCTGTCCAATACAAGGAGATATAGACTTTTATACATGATGTGACCCAATTTTTGGGTTGAAGACAATGAGTTCATCATTGTAGATACTTGAGCAGAACAAATGGCATATACTCAACATGTGTCAGCAAAGAGACAGGAGAAACGAGAGGGAGAAAAAGAGGAAAGGGGAGAAAGAACTTGTCTGTATAATAACTAAGATATATAAGATCTAATATTCTTGAAATATATTAGAAAACATGTGAATTGTTTCCATTTTTTGTGCAATTCAATAAAACTAGGAGTTCGGACTTATAAACAATTGGAAAAATTTAAATAATGGTACCATATCCGAAGTTATAAGGGCAAGAAGTGTAGCTCAGTGTAAAGCACTTGCCTTCAGTGTAGGAGGTTCTGAATTCAATCCCAGTATAGACAAGAAGAAAAGAAAGAAAGACAAGTGTTCCTCTCACATTACGTAGGCTCTCTTACTATTCCTGTGTACATTTTTAAATCTATTTGCTCCCAAGTACAATTAGATCAAATGAAACTAGCTAAATTCAGATCTCACTCTGAGAGTCACTGATACATTCACATATTAAATATTGTCTTAAAAGACAAACTGCCTTTAAGGTTTCTTGGGAAAGTTACATATCAAGATCTTCGTGTACTTCTGGCATAACTTGAAGGTTTATTCTGAAGTACATTCCTGTTTGTTGAAGGTATAATATTTTCCTTTGTATTTAAATACTAGTTCACTGTTTCTAATTTTGATACTATTATACTACTAACTTCAATAGCAGTCTTAATGAGGAATCTATTATTTTAAAGAGAAGACTGTTTTATGAATAACTAGAGAATTGTATCTCATATAAACAATGAAACTATCATTTACACTTTTCCATTATTATACCTTCATACTGCTTCTATGTCTCCCAGTTTTAAATATTCCATAAAACATAGAATATAAATAACTGGTGTGTTAACTTTCATTTTATTGGATATAATTTTGCTATTTGTCATCATTATTTTATAATGATGATACATTACTCTGATCATGGTTTATATGTATGACAAATAATGCCTAAATAATTCAATTGTGGATGCTGAAAATTTTTAATGAATTTTCCCATTTATCATGATATGAGCTGTTTTCTCCTATCAAGTTCTTAATATGATACATATATTACTACATTATTATAGAACTGTCCCCATATTTTTGTGAATAAAATTCCCACAGATTTCATTCCATTTTTATATTAATACATTCATTTTCTATTACATACACTTTTAATATTTTTATTCATCTGTGAGAATAAAGTGTGTGTGTATGACCACTACCAATCTCAGATCCAAATTATGCAGGTATGGCAAAACTAATTAGGGATTTGAATTTTCTGTGTTTTCACATCATTTGACTAGTATAGAAATAGTCTTCCTTTAATTGACATGTAGTACCATCTGGATTAAATTTAGATCATTTTATTTTTGGTCTTTGAAGAGGTGGTTTTCATGGCTCATTATATCTTTTTTCCTCTATCATTAATTTTCCCTGGTCATGCCCCATCGAATTGGTAGAGTGATTCAGGTTAAAAAGTGCAACTTTATGTCATGACCCAATTCTGTGCCCCCAATGGGAAGGAAGTGTTGATGATTCTCCCTGTCTCCTGTGCTTTGAAGGGATGTACCAATGGCTGCTGTGAGCCTCTGACCTGCCGACGAAAACCAGGACCTGGCTGTGATCAGACACACCCTTACCTGACTCTGTGAACACGTGAGACCCCCCCTTTCTCCCTCCCCCACTTATCTGAGCACTGGAGGGGGAGGGGGATAAAACAAGATAGAAACAGGAGACAGGAAAGGAGAAGAGACAGGGAGGAAGGAAGGTCAAACAGAAGGGAGGAGGGAGGGGGAGGACCATGTAATTTCTTAAGAGCTTTGAATGATAGGAGGCATATCCCTTACTGGTTAAGACAGATGTCATGATTGAAAGAAAATTAAACCTGGACATAAGACACTTAAGTGCTAGTCACAATTCTAACAAAAACTTGGGACTTTAAACCAAGTTGTAAGTTTTCTCACTTCCCAAATGGAGTTCATGATATGTTTTTCTTGGTACTGTTATTAGTGTTACTCAGATTCTATAGATTAACCTTTTCATTTTTACATAGTATTTTACAATTGATAATAGCCATGGCATTTATTTTTTTCTTTTAAATAGAAAATGAATCAAAGAATCTTCTTCACTGAGAAGCTGCTTTTCCAAGACACACCAAGAGGCTGTATATTTTTACCATTGTATATAAATATACATGCCACCGTTGTATTCTGGGTTCTGAGTTTGTGGATTCAACCATTGAACAAATGTACCTGGAAAAAAAGAATTACGTCTGCAGTGAACTTTTATACATTTTCATGCCATTATTTCTCAAACAATTCAACTATTTACATAAGATTTACATTGTATTAGGTATTATAAACCATCCACAGAAGATTAAATACATGGGAGGCCATATGCAAACATTGTGCCATTTTACACAACAGGTATGGCCATCCGCAGATTTCGGTGTCTTTCCTGTGTCCCGTGCCCATATAAAGTAGATACCAGGGGAAGTAGAAACTACTTTCAGGAAGTTTCTTATGTGTGTTTGGTGCAGAAGTGAAGATTGAACTCAGGACCTTACACTTTCTAGGCAAGGGCTTTTCCACTTGGTTGCCTTTTTGGTCGATATGTAACATTCACAGTTTTCTAGGACACCTTTTTTACAGATAGCAATTGCTTTTCATAGGCACCACTCCGTTTCCAACCACAGGAAAACTAAAACACAGCATTCCTCTGTAGTTCACTGTCATTGTCTGTGGACACAAGAGTATGGCAGGGGATCCTGACTATGACCTCTTCTAATCAACCACCTACATATGCAAGGCGCCTGCAAACCCCATGTCACGGTCAATTAATTTGAGAGAGGCTCAAGGGAACTAAGGAAAGCACTTAGTGATCTAAAGGATATTACTGGCTATAATATAGGTGAGCAGCTACATGGAAGGGATGCTTGGGGCAAAGTATACGGGAAGGAATGTGGGTGTCCTAAGCCCTCTTCAGCCAAGCTGTTCTATAGGAAAGAACCCTTAAATGGTTCAGTAATCTAGGAGCTCCACACATCCTGCCCTTATAGAGAGATGTCATTAGTAGTCACAGTCAACTACACCATTGGCCATTCCTGATTACCTCAGTCTCCATCTTCTCTAGAGGGTGGGGCTGAAACTTTCATCTGTCCAATCACATGACTGTTCACCCTGGCAACCAGCTGCTACCCTCAGGCTATCCAGGAGCATCCTTCAATCATTCACAACATGAGCATACAAAATTAGTTCAAAGACTTCAAAGTTTTAAAAACTATTTTTCCCAGGAAAAGGGGAGGATACAAAGCATATTCTTTCTATTCTAAATCACAATATTATAATTCTTCTTCCTTCCTTTCTTCTCCTTGTTTTTTTTTTTTTTGGTCCGTACTGGGGTTTGAACTCAGAGCTTTGTGCTTACCACATCTCCAGTCCATAAGATCATTTCTTAAGAACACTGCAAATAAGCTGTAAGAGAGTTTGAACCTTACCATGTTTGGTGGTGTTGTTGGTTGATTGGTTGGTTGATAATAGTGGTGGTAGAGTTTAAACTCTGGGCCTGCAAGAGCTATTGTAAAGTCATTGAGGAGATGTGCTTAGCGCCACAGTAGTGCTGATGTTTTTGTGGTGCACAGATGCATTTTGAGGTGATGAGGACCTTTCTATTTTGCACTGCCAAGGCGTAGCATGCTACTCTTTTGTTAGGCAATTGTGACACCTGCTGTCCACCATAAAGAACTTATCCTGCTGTTCTTACGGCAAATGCAAAGACTGCTGCTTGGGGGAAAAAAAGAACACTTTTAGGGGGTGGTGAACAGATGAACAGTTCATTTGTCCTGCCTCTGGAAAGTCCAGTCTCAAACAAGGAAGCATTTTTGAATGGAAGCACTGCAGATAGCCCAAGGCCTGTCTAACTCACCCTTCCTGATTTTTTTCCTGCGAAGGAAGTGATGAACTATGGATTGACCACTAGATGGAGTGGTATCTGAAGCTGCCATGTATCTTGGGGCTCACACACAGCACTCTCCCCATTTCTCTGTGAGGCGCATGTACCATGTACGGATCTCTGTATGTTTCAAATAGAATCGTGTTGAGTTATAATTTATACACACTAAGATATATTTATTATAGGTAATGAGTTTTGACCAAATGTAACCACGTTTGCAATCAATGTATGGAACATTTCCACCATCTGTCCCTGGAATCTCTCAGCCCAGTCAGTTTCAACCCCATCCCAGGACCCAGACGATCACTCATCTGCTTTCTATTGCTATGAATTGGGTCTATTTTTGTTTCCAGTTTCAGGCTCAGGAAATCTTAAAGTATGTCTGCTTTGTGTCCTACATCTTCTAAAGCATTAGTGTCTGCATCAGTATATCACTGGAGATACTTGTCTTCAGAACTCAATGACATTAGCGAGCTTTCCTTCATGTAAAGAATATTTGAGATGGATGCTGGTGGTTCACACCTCTTATCCTTGCTACTCAGGAGGCTGAGATCAAAAGATCGAGGTTCAAAGCTAAATAGGGAAGGAAAGCCCATGAGATTCTTTTTTTTGGGAGGGAGGGTCCAGTCGTGGGGCCTGAACTCTGGGCCTGGGCGCTGTCCCTCAGCTCTTCAGCTCAAGGCTAGTGCTCTACCACTTGAGCCACAGTGCCACTTCCGGCTTTTTTCTTTTTGCTTATATGGTGCTGAGGAATCGAACCCAGGGCCTCATGCATGCAAGGCAAGTGCTCTACCACTGAGCCACCTTCCCAGCCCCTCCATGAGATTCTTATCTCCAATAAATCACCTAAAAATTAGATGTGGAGCTGTGGCTCAAAGTGATAGAGCATTAGTCTAAAGCAAAAAAATAAATAAATAAAGCTTAGGGACAGCACCTAAGTCCAAGTCTCACGACCAACAAAAATAACAAAGCTGAGATTATAAATTAATGAAGAAAAACAATACACTCCTGGAATGAAGCCAGTATGATCATGGTGTGTGATCTTTTGAATGTATTGTGAATTCAGTGTTCAAGAACTGAGAATTTGAAATTTAGACTTCTTTCACTACATCTGCAGTTGTAATAAATTAACACCTGAGGCCTTGCTCTTCTCAAAGGGTATAAAATATATGCAAATTTTATTCAGAAATCCCCAAATCTGTAGACACATACTTTTCCTGCATCCCACAGAAATATAATGGTAAGATCAAAATATAAACAAGAGAAGTAGGCTAAAGTCAAACAAATTTTCTAATTAATAAAGTTTCTTTTCAGGATAAAATACAGCAACCTCTAAGACTATTCACCAATGCAGTGAGGACAAATGAGAAGAGAAATCCAATTATTTGTACTCCAAAAAGATGTGACTACATTGTTTTCCACTCTTACTCCCATTTGGGAAATTAAAATAAGCTTTACAGACTTGGAGAGACAAAATATTAGATATAAATCAGATAGAAAAACTCATTAGAAGTACTTATAATGCTCTCTCAGTAATTTTACTCTTAGATAAAGTGCTTTTTTTCCCAGAGCATATGGTTGAAGTCAGATTTCATTATTAGGAACAGAGCATCTTAGAGTCAGAAGAGACCTCTGATATCTGCCAATCTTAATGGATTTGAAGCTAATTTTAGAAAAAGGCATGTCTAGGATACATATTGATTCCAAGTACTGATGGGTTTGTATTTCTCTGTAAGTTTCTATTTCTAGCACCTTTCTGTTTGCCTGTGAAATTCCTAACTGCTCTAAATCCTAAATCTTAGCAGGCAAAAAGCACTTCTGGTTAAAACAAAGCAGCGTTATTTACCTTTAATAGAGACCCTGTGGCATCAATACAACATGAGATGTGCAGGAAAAAGACTTGAGATATCTCTTGCGATCTGTATGAAATTAGAGAGTGAAACTGGCTTGTTAATTTGTGAAATCATCCCGCCTCCCCACTTCGCCTTTGTATAGAAAAGGACAGGGTGCTCATGGAGAAAGAGTCACGGCCTATAATTTGGGAGTTTACTAGATATTTGTGATTAGCTGTGGGCACGAGTATATCTTAGGGATTTTGCAAAATTGTTAAATAATAACTAATGCATAATGTTAAAGCCAAATGATCAAGAACTTGGCAGAGGGAATGTTCACAGACTCAGTCTTATTTCAACCTTCACTGGAAGGGTTCATTCAAGCCTGAATCAAATGTCTCCGTTTTGATCTAAAGAATCTCTGAGGGCTAAACACCTCCATAAACTTTCTCTTGCATGGGGGAACAAGCTGAGCAGTGGGAAACTTCTGGCACAGATGTGAGAGCCACCATAGGCCTCCGTCCTTGATCAATGGAGAGCTGCTCTGACAGGCACACAGAGATCAAGTTGTTCTAGAAGGTACCATTGTTTGCAGTCCATAAAGTTTGAATGGGAAGTCTGTAGAGATGGAGTGAAACTCATTTTTATATTGAGAAGGCCAAGACAATGGGTATTTTTGTTATACACACACATACATACACACGTACCTATCCCTACCTATATACATATTAGTGTGGTCTTACTCTAAGTATTTGATGGTCCATGAAAATCTTGTTCATGGTCAGCTCTGAGATTCTGGCAGTCATGTACAGAAATCCAGAGCAATTCTTTTTTTTTTGCTAGAAAAGTGAATATTGAAGTGGAACTAT